TGTGTGTTTGTGTGTGTGTGTGTGTGTGTTTCTCATAGCATCACACAGGCTAGGAGTTGTGCTGTGGTGTTCAGGTACGGTCCAGAACAGACCTCTTTGCAACCTCCCCCCAATCTCAGGGAAAAACGGTCAGTCTTTACACCCAAGATGATAACCTCTGCCTCAGTGGGTACTGACATCATGTTCAGTAATTATTTGTAATTATTATAATACAGTACTTTTACCTCCATGTTTTATCTCTTTGTTTGCTTTTTAGAGGAGGAGAATACTGGGGAGGGAACCCAGGGTTTTCACACTGGGCTACATCCTCAGCCCTTTCTTGATTATTTTTATTTTTGAGCCACTAAAGTCACTAAATTGCCCATGCAGAGCTCAAACTTGGGATCCTTCTGCTTCAGGCTCTCAGAATTCTCATTGTACTTTTTAAAAAAAATTTTTAAATGTTTAAACATCCGACAGCTTTCTCGGCGGAACTGGGGATTGAACTCAGGCCCTTGAGCTTGCCAGGGAAGCACTTATTCCATTGAGCCATCTCCCCAGCCCTCCAACAGCTTTCTACTCAGCACATACCTCTCATTGTCTTGAGGCTGGTCTCCCAACAAGCCTCCTTTTTCCCTCTGCTAAGCCCTTCTGTGTTTCAGTCTTTAAGTCTTTTCCTTTCTGCTCTGCCACTCTCCCTCTCCTTTCTGTGTGTCTTCTTTCTGTGAAGGGCAGAAACTGCTTGAGACACAGGAAGCTCACAGCGTCGTCCAGGTTTCCCTCTTTCCTGTCTGTGGTGCCTGTATTAGGTGTTGTGGAATGTGGCACTAGGCTTCAGGTCCTCATACACTGCTACAGTGCATACCTGTTTCTAGGAAGATGTGCTGTGCGCTGTAATAACCATAAGGTGTTACTGATATTCTGATCCCAAAGAGATTCTAATACACAGAAGTGAGAGCTTACTAAACATACCACAAACATTTTCACTGATGTAGGCTTTATGTAATCTAGAATTTACTCTTTTACTTCTGAATTCTTAACTAAAATTTATGTATATCCCTGGGGAAATTAAATTTTTATGTATATCCTTCAGAAATGATTTATTGATTGTTATGCACACTTGGCAGGTCAGTTTTCATAATGATAGAAAAGGAAGAATTCATTATATTTGAGGGTTTGAGGGGGTTTGAGGAAGATAACTAACATTTTGCAGACTTGTTTATTATACCAGACTCTGGCTATCATTATCTTGGTGTGAATCCTTAGACCTGTGACAGAGGTTTGTGAGTTGCCATCCCATTTCACACACAGTAAGACCAAGGAACTGAGAACCTCACGCTGGTGCCCAGGTCCAGGCTCAGGCTCTCTGGTTCCTCCTCCAACCCTTGTGGCAGCAGAAAAGAGGTGCTGAAAGCCCTGAAAAGCTATACAAGAGGGGCTCATCTCCAACTGAGGAGATTCAGGGAAGATGATTTCATGTTCTTAGCAGGTTATTGAAGGATATTTGTGATTTCCCCAAAATAGCATACTTATGAGGTTTGGAAACAGCACATTACTATGTGTAACTCACAGCTCTCTGGTACAGATTACTCTAAAGACAAAATCTCCTTCCCTCAAGTAAAACTTGCTATTGGAATGTTCATTCTTTTCTGTTTATGCTCATTAGCTCTCGCCTGCCCTAATATTCCCTGAGTCTGCCTCAGTTATAATGTGAAGCGCAGCGATGAATATTCTTAGAATCAGGAACAGGAGAGATTCTGCAAGCTAGTGCACTGTAGTCAGCCTCATAAGGATTGGGACACCTGAGGGTATGTACCCTGGAGCTGGGACCTTTGCCTGTGTCCCAGTTCTGTAATGCAGGAAGCTCTCTGCACTGAGTGAGGAGTTCATGCCACTGCTGGTTTTCCCTCTCCAATGAGCTGCTGTGTTCACCTTTAGTTCACATCCTGGGACAGTGCCCTACCCTTTGGAAGGGCTGGAGGAGTGTTGGCTAGTACTGATCCTCAGAAAATCCCCAAATCAGTATGAATAGGAAGAAGGAAGGGTAGGGGTGGCTTTGGAGTCTTTTAGAAAACCTGATAAATAGTGATAAATTAGCATTCATTTTTGGAGTGGCTTTGAGATAGTTCACCATGTTAAAGGTCTGAACTAGTGGACTATTTGCGTAGAAGAATGACCAGTGGAGTCTCAGAGGGCATCGTATAGATCTACACAGATCCCCACAGTGCAGGTTCAGCTAACGAAGCCACATTAACCCATGGCTGTGGCAAATCTGGATCCCAGCTCTAGCCAGGTCCAGTTGTAAGGTTAGAGGCTGACTGTAGAGGCTGAATGAAGCTCCAGTGTCCAGTGCTGCTGCGTGAGTGACCTTGGAGTTGTCTTTAAGTCCTTGGGCCCTGAGTAAAAAGCACCTCCTATAAAAAATGTTTTCATCCTTTTTTTTCTCCTTTTTCCCTCTGTCCTCCCTCCTTCTTTTCCTCTTTTGGTAGGTAAACTTCGGCAAAAGAAACAGAGAAGGAGGAAAGAGACATTAAAAGCCTTTCTCCTCTCCATTTCTACTTCCCATAATTAACCAGAGCCAGATTCTTGAATCTTTGGAGAGGTTTTATCCATAATATGTGAATATCTGTAAGCTTTTAAAAAATTCATATGAGATTTTACTCCTCCATACCTTACGTTTTTAACTTAATACATATTAATGATCTTATAGCATCCTTATAGCTCAACTTCTTTATTTTTTTATGTCATTAGAATTATATATAAAAACATTTCAAGGAGATATTGAAATTCTGAACTCTTGTGCATCCCACAATGTAACAATAAATAAATGTTTAAATAAATAAATAGGGGGCCTGCCCATTAGCTCAGGTGTTAAGCAGTCAGGCTCAGGATGCTGTGGTTCGATCCCCTCATCCTCAAGCCAAACCAGACCTGCCCTGAAGGCAACCTGAGCGGCCCCTGAAAAATAAATGAATAAATAAATTAGATAAATTCAAAGTTGGCAGAATTACAAGGAGAAATGGGTTAGTGCACAATCATAGTGGCAACTTAACCAAGTCTGTCAGAAACTAATACATATCAATAAGCCAAAAGCAAAGAATAATGATGTAGGAGATTTTTATTTATTTATTTTGATGTAGGAGATTTAAATTGCACCATGAAGGAGTTTCATTGAGTGGGAATACGAGGGGCTTGGTGCCCAACAGTTACAAAAGACACAAGCTCACCTAGGATCTGCAGAGCACCTGGCATGTGCTTGAGCATAAAGGAAATCTCACTAACAGTAATCTCTTTGCAGATGTCATTTCTAAATTGGCTTTGTCTTTTTCCTCCACTTTTTTCCTGAGTTCTATGGGTTCCTGTTTGACATATGCTGCTTTATAACTGTAGGAGCTCTGAATTGCTTTAATTATGCATTAGGATCTTAACTATAATTGCTTCATAAGGATTTTTGCTCTCTTTTTTATTTTTTAATCTGCATATAATGATTGTGTATATTTATGGAGTATATTATGATGTATCGATCCGTATGTACAGTATGTAATGACCAAACCAGGGTAATAAGAACAGCCATCATCTTCAACATTCATCAGTTCTTATCTTAGGGATATTCAAAATCCTCACTTCTTGTTATTTTGAAATACACAATAAGTTGTTCTCTGTTACAGTCACTTGGGCTTTCTTTTTAATTCATGATGGAATGTTGGGTTTAATTTCCATCACTTACGCATCATTTTGCAGATAGGTTTTCATCATCCCCTGCGAAATCGGCCTGCTTTGTACAATCATTTTTCTTGTGCTGTCTTTGCCTCTCTGATACCAAGTGTATCCCTCAAGATTAGTGTGGTGCTGGGGTAATACCTGTTTTGCTTTTCTCGGTAACACTTAATGACATCAAAGACCAGTGGGGGCACATCTGTAATTCAGTTGGTAAATGATTCAACTTCCTAGTTTAGAGAAGAATTTGTGTCTAGTTGACTCCCAACTTATTGCAAGTAACTAATTCAGTGCCTTAAAATCAGTCAGCACCCAATAAAGGAAGGAGGCAAGAGGTGAGGGAAGGAGGAAAGAGACATAAAAAGTCTCTCCCCTCCCCTTTTCTATTTCCTGTAATTAATCAGAGTCAGATTATTTGAATCTTTGGAGATGTTTCATCCATAACACATCATACATGAGTATCTGTAAGCCTTCTAAATATCATGTGTGTTAGGAGGTGGTCAGAAGAGCCAGGCCAGTGGGCACCACCCAGCAGGTTACATCTCCCTTGGCTCTCTGAGTCCTGGCTCAGGAAGTGGGCAGCTTTTCCTCTACCATGCCAGCTATGGACTGAAACCTCTACAAACTGAGCCAAAATGAACCTTTCCTCCTTTAATTTGTGCACATCAGGTATTGTGTCTCAGCAACAAAAATGTGATTAAGACATTGAGTAAAGTATGGCTTTGATTTTGATATAAAATATTAGTGAAGCTTCATTTCTGTCATTTCTGTGAACACTAAAATATAGATGCTACAACTTTTCTCCTATCTCGTGGACACCCCTACAATGTGTGGATCTAGGTTTGAACATGAGACCCACCGAGGCTGTTTCTTACCATCCACATGACCCTGCAGACCTTGTCAGCACCTTAATGGACAAAGTCTAAGAAGCTAAATGACTTGATCGGTAGGCATGTGCATCTTGCCAAATTTCCCTATAATCCAGACTTATTCTAGACATTCCACCTTTGATCACATGAGACTTTAAGAGGACATCTAGATGTAAACTATAACACTCAGCAGTGTGAGGCAGATGGCCACATAAACACTGAATCCTGGGGTGTCCTGGGAAGGGGTGGGAGGAGTTCAATGCAGAGGAACAAACAGAGGTGCCTGCTTCACTAGTTCATTTGTTTATAGGAGGTGATTACTTTTTGTAGGTTGTGTGTACCTAGTTGAGTGAATTTCTAGATTATTCTCTGTCTTTGGTAGCAAATATGTGAATTGCTGCCCACCCTCTCAGGATGTAACCTTTGGTCTTCCAGGGACCCCCTGGCGCAAGGAGCAGACTGAGGACCTGCAGCGGGTGCTCAAAGACCTTGACAGTGAGATCCCGCTGGTCCTTGTCAGTGGCAACCATGACCTGGGCAACGTCCCCACAGCTGAGACCATCCAAGAGTTCCAGCAGACATGGGGAGATGACTACTTCAGCTTCTGGGTTGGAGGTGTCTTGTTCCTGGTGCTCAACTCTCAGTTCTGGTACGATGCCTCCCAGTGCCCAGCCCTGAAGCAGGCCCAGGACTGCTGGCTGGACCAGCAGCTGAGCATCGCAGGACAACGGCAGTGCCGGCATGCCATTGTCTTCCAGCACATCCCGCTGTTCCTGCACAGCATCGATGAGGATGATGACTACTTCAACCTCACCAGAGCTGTGCGCACAGAGCTGGCAGACAAGCTCACCAGTGCAGGTAGGGCCCAGGGTGGGAGGCCGGGGCAGCTCTTTGGCCAGTGCCTCAACCTGACAAAGAGGGCAACTTTGGATGGAACTGGACTCTGGTCCACATTCTGTCACTCACAAGCTGTGTGGCTGTGGACATGCTCCCTAATTTTTTTTACCAGTGTCCTCACTGGTAAATCAAAGTAACTGTAAGAACTGTCTCATAGGATGGCTGTGGGGAAACAGAGGCATTTAGGATAGGCCCTACCCATGCTAGCTGTAAATGTGTGGTTGCTGCTCCCAGTTAAGGATAGAGGTGTTCAGCATGGGAGCTACTGTTTAGGTCTGAATGTGGTTGCCTGTGCTTCAGGTCATAGCACAAGCCAGGGGTATCTCTGTCCTCATTTCTCTAGGAAGCAGGAACTGGCTCAGAGCCAGCTGATCCTAAAGAGCCAAGCCTCTCAGCAGCAGAAGTCAGGTGTGCCCCCGGAGGTCCTGGAATGTGGCTCTGATGGGCAGGTCCTGGGCCTCCTCAATTTGCCCCTACTAAGACGGATTAAGTTCCCTTCTTGACTCAGGGGAAAGGACATGTGTAGCCTGAGCTCATCCTGCTGTAGTCTTTTAGCCAATTATATGTGTGGCAGACCATTTACATACTCAAAAAGCAGAGATGGCCTGTTTGTGAACACAAGGCCTGAGCGTCTAGTGGTATATCCTCTTGTTTCCACCCTCGCCTTATCTTTGCTCTTGAGAGCCCCTGAGTTATGGGGCCTCTGCAGAATCTCAGCTTTGACAGCTGGCCCGAATTCCTCCTTTCAGATCCTTCCAGAGTGTTCTTATATAAAACACTTCAAAAATAATTTATCTTCCTTTATTTGTTATGTGAGAAGGGGAAGGGGCCCTGACCCAGAAGTAAGCATTCAGTTTTTTTTTTTTTTAAGTCCTGTTCCCTTCCTTTTCATCTTTGAGTATTAAATGTGTTTCACATACTTGTAAAAGGTACAATAGGCCCTTCTGTGTTGCTAAAACATCTTTAAAAAGGCTCCCATAATTGGAGACATTTTCCGACTGTTCCATAGAGACAAAGTTGGAAAACTTCTATTAAAGGCCTTTGAAATTTTATGCCATACTTCAGTTGGTACAGAAACCCATTCTGATGCCAGGGAAGTAAAGTGTCAAAGTGGAATCAGCTCCACCATGGAGGCCGTTTTGCAACAGAGAATAAAGCTAGGAGACTATTTAATGCCCTGACACAATTCCTTTCATAGCATGTGGCAAGTGATGCAGATGCCGTTCCCTGTTGCTCTTTATGTTCCACTGTTGTTGACCAGTGCTTGTGCAGCACGTGGTCTGGGTTTCCCAGTTAAAGGCAGAGCACATGTTACCTACTTCTGCCCTCTGGTATGAGGAAGACCCCACATACCAAGAGACCCAGAATGGGGTATTGCTTCACATTGGCATCAGCAGCCCTGCAGAATTTAGAGTCCAGGGGTGTCTCCACACCATACTTATGTGTGACCGCAGTATCTACAACTCTCAGTGCCAGTTGATTAATCAGCGTAGCACAGCACTTCCTCCAGCCCCATGCAGGAAGTAGCCTCCTCCCATGAACGGAGCTGCGCAAGAGGCCAAATTATAATCAGGATGTTGCTTGGTAAACAAAAAGGCAGAGTAAGGGGTCAGTCTCCTTTTCCTACTGGCTGTGTCCAGTAGGGGCCTTCTTGTTTGCAGGGACTCTGATATTTCATTTCAATTTAATTCTACCTCTTTAATTTCTAACCAGCGCATCCTTTTCTTTCAGCTACCACTGTCTCAGCTGGGTCTTAGTGGTATCCCTGAGCTGGGTGGCTACTCTACCTTTGGGTTGCTCATTCTTGCAGCAACTCAAAGGAACCACAGGAAGGGTCTTAACCTCCCCAGCCCAGTATAAGACCCAGCTCCTCTCCATTCTGGAAGTTCCTGTTTTGCCCTCTGGCCTTCCCCAAGGCAAGCCCATTCAGCCTTGACCCCATCTGTGTGATGTCCTGCTCTGCCTCATTCTTCCTCAGCTTTCCTTGATCCTGCACTTGTCAAGTGGCTTTGTAGGCATTGATGTATCCAAATACCTAGGGCCAGCGAGATAGCTCACAGACTAAGTGCCTGTTTAGGCAAGCACAGGGGCTGGGGTTCAATCCCCAGTACCACATGCCATGCTAGTCCCGCCCCTGGAAGTGCTGAGCTGCAACCAAGTCCAAGTATGGTGGCACATGCCTATAATCCCAGTAGTATGGAAGCTGAAAACAGGAGGATCACTATGAGTCTGAGCTGCACAGTGAGACCCTGGACCAAATACATTTTTTAAAAAGCCTCTCAGCTCCTTGAGGGCAGGGGAATTGTTCTGCTCACCTCTGCATTTGGGAGGCCTAGCTTAGGTCTTAGCTCATAGTAAAGCTTCATCTGTGTTTGTGGGATGAATAAAGAGATCTTTGACTCACACTTCTGTGCTCAGAACTGTACCAGTTGTCAGGTAGTCACCCCATGCCTGGCACAGCACAGAGCAAGTCTAGATTCCCATGTAGCTGCTGACACAGTCCTTCCACTGTGTGTTCCAGACCCTCTGCCCACACCTCTCCAGTCCCATGGCTTCCATAGCATTTAGAGTGTCCCTTGGCCCTGATCAACCTGCCAGCCTTCCAGGTTTCCTCAGCATTCTGTTTCTGCCCCCCAAGTGCCTCCTCCCCACTTTCCCCAGGTATCGCCTTCAGTATGAGGTCGCTGATTTTATGATCTTCACCTATATCTGCTTAACCAAGGAAAACTGGAGAGATGGGAGCCTTCCTACAGTCACCTATCATTTGGGGTGGCTTGTCAAACCAAGCCCTTTGCTTAGTGACCTTCAGACACAGAATAAACCTGGAGCCACATCCAGAAGACCCAATTCAGGATCTTCCAGGTCACTGAATGACCTAGTGGGCTGGGAGGCACAAACAGGCGGGCTCTATGCAGATATTCACATACCCAGTTCAAGAACACAGGCAATGGCTGAGCTCACAATACAATTTAAACCCATTTGCAAAGCCAAAAGTTCAAGAAGTATTTTGTAAAATAAGTTCACTTAAAGATCTGGATACCATTGGAGGTGATGATGGCAGATGGTATTTAATGTTGCCTCTGGGTTTTTCCCCCCACAGCAGTATTATTCCCTAGTACTATTTCAGTCTCATTTATCTCGTTGTGCTGAAATGCCAGTACTCAAAAATATGTCAAAAGCTCATCAGACTACCAAGGTAGCTTTTAATTATGATAATTGTGTTGTTATAAAATATCCTTTTGAAGAACACATCCCTCCCCATACCACCGTAGAGGTAAAACCCTGCTTCCTTCTAGCAAGCTTAATGAATAATTCTGAATCATTGTGTGGGATGAATAAATGATTTAATAATGAACATCAACAATCATCTCCCATTGTTGCATTAATTTTTTTAAATGGGATGAGGTAAATGAGGAGGAAGGGATGTCACTATACAATGGGCCACCTTGTGTGTAGGAATACGCTCTGTGATTCAAAACCCAAGCTCTTCCAAGCTCAGGTTTCCTTAGAAACCAATACATCCTGTTTCTACTTTTGAAGCTGAATAAAAAGCCACCTTTGTATGATATAAAAACGTTAATAACTGGTACAAATAAACAGATATGAGGGCAGGACAGATACACAGATGTGAAGCAGCACCTGTTATTTTGTCTTCTTTTGCTCCGCCTGAGGATAATCATTTTCATCACATCCAAGGGGTGTAGAAATTGCTTTTCCTCTTAATTCGCCTGATAGGTAGTGGGAGTTGCAAAGACAGATCATAGATAATGAAATCCTGGTTACAGCAGGGCATTGTCTCCACCCCATAGCTCTTTCAGCAGCAGCTTAGTATGTGACTCTGTTGGCCTGGATTGCAATTTAAAAACTCAATCTTAAAAAACAGGGGCCTGGCACTTTAACTGGCCACATTTCCCTGATATCTCAACACCTTGTCTCTTTTCTATTCTCAAAGTAGAGATTAGAACTGTATATTAAAAAGCCCAGAGCAAATTTGGCAATTATAAAAGATACCAATAAGTTGATCTTTTCCGCAAAAGCTAATGGGCAATTTCACAGAATTAGAGTTTAATCTCTAGTATTTATGTTAAAAAAAAAAAAAAGTTAGAAAGCTATCTTAGCCCATGGTTGTGGCTTTAGAATTTCAAAGCTTTAAAGAATATAAAGGTCAGTTTCCCATAGTATACTTTATTTAAAACTTCAAATTCAACTCTGTGCTGTGCTGAAACTGTTCATATCCTGATTCCTGTGGGAAATACAGCCCAGCTGCATTCGCCACTAGAAACCCAGCCCCACGCTGAGACTGTCCCTTGGTAGTCCCTCAGTAAATAAATATTTGTTGAATGGAATTGAGTTAGGCTTGATTTAGACCTGCTTAGCCGTGGAGCACAGGTAGCATCTACATCACTGTGGGTTGATGTTGACTATCTGACTTCCAAATGGGAAATGCCTCCCCTGGAGCAGGGGCGGACACACATTCCCTGAAAAGGATCAGTTAGTAAATATTTGGGACTTTTCGGCTCTACAGTCTCTAGCAAATCCAGCAAAATCCTCTTGGCTCCTGGTCTGTGCAGAAAGATAGACTGTATTTTGAGTCCAAGATTTTTTCAGGGAAGATAAGGAATGCATACTTAATTTTATGCAAAGGAACTACTAGCTTAAAAGATCAGGAAACACTAATGTAGATGAAAAATTCATTGGGAAATTGATGATAGAATCTATATCTTAGAGCATATGCCTTTCCACTTAATACGTTAGTTAAAGAAAAAAACCTTTGTATACATAATTTTATAGGTGTTTCTAAATCTAGCAAGTGTGTGCACAAGACAGCGGTAATCATCCTACAGTATCTTCTGTTTAAAATACAGTTTTTACTCAGGTATGGTGATATACACCTATAATTCCAGGAGCCTGGCAGGAGTATTACTGTAAGTTCAAGGCTAGCCTGGACTACATAGTGAGAC